CCTTTCTCAGGACCTTGATGGATGGAAAGTGATCAACGGGTCTTCCCAGCTTTTTTTTTTTTTTTTTTTACCATCAAGCATGGTATCCTGGACTACAAGATTTGGGGATCAGAGGCTATTGTCTGCAGTGTTTGCAGAACACTGCAAACCTCAGTGGGCGATTCCTGTCAATGGTAGTGGAGGAGGAGATGTTGGCCCACATGCTTCCCCCTTTTTGGGTGCCACAGGGGTCAGTCCTTCCCTCTCCCTCACATATGAAGCTGCTGGAAAAGGTCATTTAGCAATTTGGGATGTGATACCATGAACAGGCTGATGGTATTTGGCTTTATATTGCCATCCCAAGCCCAGCTGAAGATGCTGTTGATGTCTGTCCTGGTGTCTGGAGACTGATGGGATATGGATGGGACAAAACAGATTAAAGCTGAACCCTAACAAGATGGCATTGCTGGCCGTTCATCACAGGCGAGCCAGTTGTGGGAAGGCCTTACTGTTCATGCTCTAATCACCATGCAAATAGAGTGCAAGGTGCTGTATATGGGGCTGCCTTTTAAAACTCTTCAAAAGCTGCAACTGGTCTAAAATGCAGTGGGTGTCTGGCAGTAGTCAGTAGGATGATATTATAGCCATCTTCAGGCTGCTACACTGGCTCTGGGTGGAATTCAAAGAACTAGTTTTGGTTTATAAATCCCTCTATGGCTTGGCACCTACGCACTTTAACGGCTGCCTAGTCTTGGGAAAAGCTACTCGTGGCACGTCACTTCTGTAAGCTGAGGGAGGCTGAGGCCAGGAAGGAGTGCTTCTCCAAAAGAGTGCCCCTCTAGAGGTTAATTGACCCTGCTCTGCTACAGCCTTCTAGCAACTCTAAAAGACCAAACTATTCCAGGGGGCCTTTAGGGAATGGCTATTAGTCATCTTTATTCAGATATTATTCATTTATTTGAAAAAAAAGTATATATCCACCTATATAGACAATAGTTCTAGGGCAGCTAATGAACAAATACACAAATAATAAAAACACAAAATTAAAAGTCTTACACATCACCAGTGTCATAACTGTATCCGCACAAACCAACCAACCAACACCCCCTCATATATATATATTTTTAAAGTGCTGGTCTCACTTCCCATCCTGGTTCAATTCCTGAGGGTAAAGTCAAATTTTCAAAGCCTCTGGAAGGCAAGGAGGGTAGGGGCCATCCATATCTCAGGGGGGAGGCTGTTCCAATGGTAGGTGCTACTATGGAAAAGGCTTACTTCCTAGGTCCCACCAGATTACAATACTTAATGGAGAGACCTGGAGAGAGCCCATCCTATCCAGCCTAGTGGGACGGGAAAATATCCTCAGGAATAGTTGGTCCCTCCAATAACCTGGCTTCTTGCCATATAAGGCTTTAAAGGTAATAATCAGCACCTCAAATTGCCCTTGGAAATAAACTGTAAGCCAGCGCAGCTCATACACCAGCAACGTAGTACAGGCGAAGTGCAGGGTGCTCAGAACTGCACATGGCGCTGCATTCTGGACCAGTTGAAGTTTCTGGGTGGTCATCAAGGGCAGCCCCAGTAGTGCATTGCAGTAGTCCAAATGGGAAGTGACTAAGGCGTGAGTGACCCATGAGTAGGTCCAGGAATGGGTGCAATTGGTGCACAAGTGTGATCTGTGCAAAGGCTCCAACTTGTGCATCATCTCTTTAATTTATTATTAGGCAGCATATTATTGGTTCTTGTGGTGTATTGTATTGTGTTACTCTTATTTACTGTGTCAAATGTTATTGTGTTTAGTACATTGTTTTAAATTATTGTGAGTCTACATTTGGAGGCATACACATTTGATAAATAAATTGCAATAAATAATACATATTCAAAATTGTCATATCCAAATTACAACAATTAATGGTCCTTTAAAGAACTGGTTTAAGAGAAATGGCTTCCACCATTAATCTGAGGCAACATTCATCTGCCAAACTCCTTAAAAATATATCTTTGTGTGTACTTTTTTTTTTTCAGATAAGAAATTGGCTCAGGTCTGTAAAGCTAAAAAGAGTAAGTGTGCCATTTGCATTATGTAAATAATGTAGCAAGACACTGGATCAAGTTAAACTAGTCTGCATACAACAGCATCAAATAAACTGGGCTTTCAAATACTTTTCATGGGGCTTAAACTGTGCAAACACATCATTTTTAATATAAAAATGCAAAAATACAAGAACATCATAAAAAAATAAACATCAAGGTAATGTAAGAGAGTAAAAACACTGCAATCTTCACTAAGAAATAAAAATGGTATAATTTATTCTTATTATATATTTGATAATTGAAATAAATAAATATTAATGATTATTTATAACCGGTTTTCTCAAGATCTCGGCATAGGATTAAACTCTAAAGATGATAAAGAGAACAAACCATTTCTTACCTTAGTTGAACTTAAATGGTGGATTCTGTCACTTGAGTAACTCTGGGGTATTGGAGGAACAGGATAATCGTCTTCTCCTCTGGCCACACTCTTTTTGACTTCTACATAGGACACTGGGAAGATTCCTTGCTTATTTGTTCCTGGTAGTTTGCCTTCATACCAGTTTTGATCAACCCGTCTAAGAAGAATGACTTTGTCTCCCTGAAAGGCAACACTCAATTACAGCTGAAAATTTTTTGTCCTGCATGAATGTATTCAATATATATTTATGGCAATGGAATATGAATTCCTTAATTGCAATGGAATATTAATGAAAGTGAATAGAAAGGCAGGGTCCAAAGGTTGCATTTACTTCAAAATGTTTGTGATGGTCAAGGAAGTTCACCAAGAGTTTTCTTCCTTTGAGGCACATTGGCCAAGGAATCTCTGTATTGACCTTTGAAACATCCCTTAGCACAAAACTCTGCATGGGGAGACTTTCACATGGTAACATGGCAGTCCAAGAAGGGTTACAGAGGGAGAAGCCTCTTTTGAAGGGCCACTAGGGAAGGTACAGAGTATATTAGAAATAGAGAGATTTCTCTGTCAGATGTAGGGGGAGAAATGTCTTTGTAAAAACCTCACTCCATTGGCAATGTATGGGGAACTTTAAAAACAAATGTTTTTAAAAGAAAAGTATGAAGAGATTTCTTGATCTCATTTTAAAAAGTAAGAACTAGCCATTTTTTTTCCCCTGTGGATCTTTAAAATACAGGCAGTCCTCACTTAATGACCCTAATTGAGACTGGTAACTCCATCGTTAGGCAAAGCAGTCATTAACTGAAACATCACATGATCACCCTGCATAGCAACGGCAGTTCTGGCAGTCCTAGTTGTGGTCATTAAGCAAATCACCTGCAGTCATTAAGCAAGGCATCACATGACTGGGACTTGTGACCTCCTGCCAGCTTCCCCATTGACTTTCCTTGTGGGAAGCCAGCTGGGAAGGTTGCAAATGGTGATCACAGGACCGTGGGACACTGCAACCATCGTAAATGCACGACAGTTGTCAAGCGCCCAAATCCTGATCACGTGACTGCAGGGACGCTGCAACAGTAGTAAGTGTGAGGACTGGTCGTAAGTCACTTTTTTCAGTGCCATCATAACTTCAAACAGTCACTAAACAAATAGTCGTTAAGCGAGGACTATCTGTATGCAAGACCCCCCCCAAAAACTGGACCAGAAAATGGCCTTCTCAAAGTGGGTTGTAAGATGCAGCAGATTTTGATGTTATGTGTAGCTTACATGGAAAAAAATAAGCTTTAATCCTTTGCCCAATATACTGTTCTGAGACAGATTACAGTCTAGCATTTGCATTGAAAAGAAACTCTGATTTAGTCCCAAACATCTCCAAATACAGTGGTACCTCTACTTACGAACTTAATCTGC